GTACACCATTTATCACACCATTAGTATTACTCATTATAGCACTGACTGTTTATGTACAACAGACTTACATAGGCATGCGTTTGACAGGTTGTTTGACGTAACAGAGTTTCGCTCTTATGAGCGGAAATTCACAAAAATAACTTGTAGGATATTGATGAAACAAAGGTGATGCAGGTTGAGGCTAGTGTCCTAAAAAATTGGGTTATGAAAGAGCGATGGTTTATCACTTCAACCTGAACATTTTTGATTTCGTGAATGTGAGATGTTTTTGCAAATGATGATGAGAATCAAAACGTCGTGTTTAATGTAGTTCTAAATAATATAATAATATAATATAATATAATATAATAATAATGATGATGATGATAATAATTGAAGAGGAGCCCGAGTGCAGTGGAATAAGAACTTCTAAACATATGTGTTGACGTTCTGTTTTTGAGTTACATCTGAAATTTCTAGACGAGCGGAAAATTTTGAAAAACAATTTAATTGTAATAATAATTAATAATAATAATTTAAATTATTCGTTGCATACCTCATGTTATTTTACGTTAGGTTCGAAACCTTTATTTACATTAACCCGAAACACTTAAACTGTGTGTATTTCATACTTTATAGATATTATACTGTTTATGTACTGATAATAGTATTTGAATTCAAATACGGACTTCTTCTAGGGTTTCAAACGTACTTCTATTTAAAACGTACGACTAGTAAGCGATACAGTTCGAAATCGCCGGTTCGGCGTAAAAGCTATTTTACAGATCTTAGTTCAATTGCTTTCCTAGAAGAACCAAATTAACTTCGAAGGTCTTGAGAACGTATCAGCCTCGCCCTGCTGTAAATCGTTCCGAGTCCTCGCCGAAAGAGCCGACTGCCTTCGTCGCTCCTCAAGTAAAGATCGCCACGGATCAGTCGTAGTTAATCGCGTCCTGCCGCTAAACGCGGCGTGGGCTCCTCAAACCATTCGAAGCGCCCTGCATTTGTCGCCGGCGAATCCTAAAATAGCCCGCTGCGAGTTCGCCGGCGGGTGGGGATGTGACGGCTCAGAAGAGGCTACGCGATGATGACTTGGTATCCCACAAGGCTGGAGGGAAGGACAGAAATATATTAGCCATTGGAGTGTGACCATAAGAGAATGCCGTTAAGGGAATTTACTGCTGAAGCTCCCTTAAAACATTTCAAATTATTTAGAAAATATTTTCACATCGTATGGGGGGAAACTAATTTTTTGTGTACCCAAAATGCCGTTGAGGTGAATTCAACTTTTCACTCCGTGTTTCGACAACTTTTCACTCCGTGTCAAATGTTCTCGGAACATGTTTTAAATGATTTAACAATGGTTTAAAATTAAATATTATTATAACTATTGTGGTTGATATCGTTTATCCTTGTTAAACCATTTAATGATACGAATGTGGTTTGAATAAATGTGTAATTTAGATTACTTATTACACACTGTATGTGTTGTATTTCACAACTGTTCATTTCAACTAAATTATGTTATCAGGATATTAGGAAGAAAATTAAATAAGCTAGTGTGTAATGATGGCGAACTTAAAAAACAGACTCATTCTCGTATATCCAACCAACAACCTGTTAAAATAATGTACAGCGCGCTAGTAAAGTTCGTAGGGGTATCTTAAAGGTGAGAGAGCTAGCACCAGAAATTATGTTGGTAGCACAAGCTACAGCTTGTAAAAACGTAACTGCGTACTCACCACAAACATAAATTCTGGAAGTATTGTCCCCTTCACTTTATTTCCAGTGGTCTGGTTGCTGCCAACATGAATGCAATTTTTAATACGACACCCTGATTCGACACATTGCGAGCTTTTCCTGGCGCACTTAATATTAGATAATTATTATGCAAATATTGATTGTAGAAGAACAAACCAATTTAATTTTACAGAAATAATGCGGTAGGTAATGAACGTGACTGTTGCGTGGTTGGCTTACTATAACGGTGATGATCGCTCGACGAATGCGTGCGGGGGGGGGGCGTGTGAGGGGCGTGTGAGAGGCGGCGGACGTGGGACGAGTGAGAGACGGGCGGACGAGGGGCGGACGAGGGGCGGACGAGGGGCGGACGAGGGGCGGACGAGGGGCGAGCGAGGGGCGGACGAAGGGGCGGACGAGGGGCGGACGAGGGCGCGGGACGAGGGCGGACGAGGGGCGGCAACGAGGGGCGGACGAGGGGCGGACGAGGGGCGGACGAGGGGCGGACGAGGGGCGGACGAGGGGCAGACGAAGGGGCGAAGAGGGCGGACGAGGCAGCGGACGAGGGGACGGACGAGGGCGGAACGAGGGGCGAACGAGGGGCGGACGAGGTCGGACCGAGGGTCGGACGAGGGAGCGGACGAGGGGCGGAACGAGGCGGGAAGCGAGGGGCGAAGCGACGGGGACGTGCGAGGGGACGTGCGAGGGACTGCACGAGGGGACGTGACAGAGGGGTGGGGCGCTGGAGGATCGAGGGGACTGAGCGAGGGAGCCCGAGAGCGGGGGCGGGCGAGGGGCGGGCGAGGGGAGGCTGCGTGAGTCACAGCGACTATTTCGAGGGCGCGTACTCGTACTACGCGCGGTGCAGCGATGCAGGGCGCGCCACATGGCGCGGTGCCAGCGCGGGGCGATGTTCTCAACCGCGCCACGTGCTGCTGCCGCTGCGGGGCTGAGCTCCATAAACCTGACACAGCCACTGCGGCACACTCAAATGAAACCAATTGGAACGTTTCGTACGCATTGACACTACTAACATCGTACGCGCGCAGAAATTGAAAGATATCTAAGACACCTGTGGCCATGCGGGAGGTGTCAATTGTTTAGTTTGATGCCCAGGATGTCCGGAAAATAGAATAACAATGTAACTGTTTCAATTTTCCGCAAAAAGATAATATTTTATTGTTTTATTCTATTGTCATATTGTGCCTAGTGACTGCCTTTCCACACCTCACATGTCACTGCTTAAGAGACAGTGACGTCACGCATCAGGAAGACGTCCAAAGAATAGGTCGGTCACCATTAAATACTTGCTATTCACGTCTTGCATTACGCAACTTGATACTGTTGGTGTGTAACGAATCGTTGTTCTATGTATATGATGTAACTGTAGTCTACCGGAAGACTCTTTTGTAACGTAATTGATAATGTGTAATATAATATGTGTTACAAGAGTATTTTATTCGTTCTTTTTCCACTTTGAGAATAATTACGTTTGAAAAATAATTTTGTATGGCTTTCTTCAGCAGCACTTTCGTTGTTGCAGGTCACTAATTTATTATTACAATATGTTTATTACCTTTTAAAAACAAATGTAATGGGGTTATGATATGCTGGATGCGATAGCTTTGCGGTGGCACTGCCTCTGTACCATTAACTGGGAGACCCTAGGATTCGAGCCCCAATTTTCGATAGTACCAAAATACAATGTAGTAGAATTCAAGTAGTCGGGATGAGAATTGTCGTAGCCCGCTGTTCTAATAGGGAAGATAATTGTAGTGGCCAGCTGTTCTAATCGGTAGCTTGTTGCGGTTTCTTCAATCAGTACCAAGAGAGTGCGGGAGCTTGCACTAACAAACGAGCTTCAAACCACCCAGGATTTCCTTCATCTTCTGTGTCCTAACCTCTCTCCTTATAAACTCACAGACTCTTACATCTCTACGTTACCGCACATGTCTGGTGATCAGTCGGGAGCTTGGAGATTGTTCCGGCTTCGGCGGTACTTACCTCTGCGAAACATCTGGAGGAGGGAACTACGTTCCAGTGGAGTAGAAACAACGCTACCGCTCGAGAGGCACTACACTTACGAGACTAATGATCTAAATAGCTGATGCGTCCGGAATCAAGATTCACTCACGATTGGTCGGAACAACGGACGGACAGTCATTTATGGAATTACACTTTCTCCTTATCAGAACTCTCAAATCGAGTACTCCATCAAAATCTCGTTTATCGCTATCATTTATTCATTAGATCACCGCTCATGGGACTCGGTGATCTCAGCAGGAGATCCAAAATCTCTAATAAATGAAAGAAAAAAGATAGAAAGAAAAAAGAAAGAAATACAGAAAGAAACAATAAATAAAGAAGAAAGAAATTGGATGACAGTGTTTAAATACAAATATTTACAGATTCTTTTTGACTCCTAAAAATTCGTTATTGAAATTTATTATTAATGCAATTTTGAGGAACAGAAGTATTAAGGCAATATGTCGTAAAATATAGCAAAGTATTAATAAGTTTTAATATATTAATTTACGAGATATATCTATGTCGTTTCTATTCTTGCTTCGAAGGCTGAACCCCCTTCCGAGAGGGGTCGAAGTGAGATATAGCCATTCTAAACCAGGAAAACGGTTAGGGTGCTCACCTATCGCTCAGCTGAGTGGTCAGTGAAAGGGATACTAGGTTGAACACTTTAGAAAGCTCAGAATTCGCTTATGTGCAGTTGTATTTGGATTGTCAATACACTATTATTATCATGCAAAAGATGTCGTTATTTCCAACTCAATATTCCTTATCGGCTCATTTACGTTTCTCCTTTAATCATGCAATTTGAACACTTTTTAGTGTTATTTGGCTCAGTGTCTTTTACGAACATTACATTTCGTAAAAATGGCAAAACCTAATTGGTCGGGATGTCTTTCGTATTTTGTCGTATGTATTTTGCTTTTATTCCCTGTTGAGGCCTTTATTCATCAAATTCACATAGACTCACAAACAAGTCGCAAACAAGCACAATCTGAAGATTATACGATTATCGATAAAGGCACATTAATAAAAGTCCCAACTGAAATGTGTGAACCAGAACAGTAACAAGTGCACATGCATTTTATTATCGTGACCCACCGTTCTTAAACATGGCTCTTGACGAGAGATTGGTGTTACCATGGTATCGCCGATAATAATTAGCTGCCAATCATTGTATTTCGTTAACGCAGCCTCAAGAGTTTGTAAAGTTGAGCAAAGAGCGCGCAGTGGTGCAAATTCCATGCTGCTTTCAGGTAACGCCGCTTCGAACAGCAGAAGTCGACATGTGCTGCTGCTCAGAAAAAGGAAGATCGCGGTGTCTCTTCTACGGAGGCGCCGTGCTCCTGGTGGTTGGCGCCGTCATGGGCGGCTGCTGGCTGTACACCTTCGACGCCATCTTGCGCTGGGTGGGTACATTTATGGTGAAGTTCAATTATTTGAAGAATATATAGATTGAAAAATTTAACGTAGTGACGCGACCTCCAAGTGATGAAAATCGTGAAATTTAATGTTATTCAATTTTTATTGGGTCGTATCCTCTGTTTTATTCTGTTTTAATTGTTTCAAACGTTTTTTTGCTAAGTTTTTTAATTTTTGAGCTTACAAGTTTTATCGAAGCTAGTCACAACTGTCAAGCCCTTAGTGAGTGAACTTCAAATACATTTTCCCGAATTGGGAATTTTCAGCACATTCGTGCATGTGAAACATCATAAATCGTTTAATATAGAAAATAATATAATTATTTTCGAAGCGAGTAACTCATGGTTTGCTCTAGTGAATGAACCTCTCGTAGAATACTTAATGTGTCACTAAAAGTGTAAATATATTTAAAAATATACTGTTCACAAAACAAAGTGAAAAAGTATGCTGTATAAATTGGTATAATAAATGAAAATATTTTTGATATATTGCATCTGTATGATTACAAAGAAAATATACTCGTACCGTGTTATGTATACTCTAGATTCCAATTAAATTAGTACAGACGAATTCTATTCTTACGTCATCCCAGACACTGCAGCGGCTGTCAATTAGTTGGCTGAAATTTTCTCGCCTACGCGTCCTTCATTCTCTCAAGACTTCTCTCATTGATTATTAGTTTTCGTACGGGTCGCCCACTAATTCTGTCGGTCCGTAACGTTTAGGTTTTAATTGGCGGACAAAAATGAATTATTTACCACTCATTTTTAAATGCGTGTAATTGACAAACCGAACGAAGAGGCTCAGGGCATAGAGCGCTAATTTCGGGAGTATTAGGGAGGCCCGGGTTCAATCCCTGTGCTGGCCATTCTAATCGGGGTTTTCGTGGTTTCCCTCGGTCATCTAGGTGAATGCTGGTATGGTTCCACTGAAAGGCCACGACCGCGAAACGGGCGTCGCTAGTGGAATTCATTAACTAAGTGAAGTCTTCATTCATTAACTACGGTTAGCCAATTCGAGACATCGCGAGTTCTGGTTTGAGTGATGGAATGTTTCGTATTTCGTTGTTGCGTATGTTCCACATTTCCTTTTCTTTTTTTACCTCCTTTTATTTTTTTGTTTCTTTCTTTTCCTCCTCTCTCTCTCTCTCTCTCTCTCTCTCTCTCTCTCTCTCTCTCTCTCCTTTTTCTTCTCTCTCTCCTTTTTCTTCTTTTTCTCTCTTTCTCTCTCTCTCTCTCTCCTTTTTCTTCTTTTTCTCTCTTTCTCTCTCTCTCCTTTTTCTTCTTTTTCTCTCTTTCTCTCTCTCTCCTTTTTCTTCTTTCTCTCTCTTTTTCTCTCTTTCTCTCTCTCTCCTTTTTCTTCTTTCTCTCTCTTTCTCTCTCTCCTTTTTCTTCTTTCTCTCCCCTTTTTCTTCTTTCTCTCTCTCTTTCTCTCTCTCCTTTTTCTTCTTTCTCTCTCTCTCCTTTTTCTTCTTTCTCTCTTTCTCTCTCTCCTTTTTCTTCTTTCTCTCTCTTTGTCTCTCTCCTTTTTCTTCTTTCTCTCTCTTTGTCTCTCTCCTTTTTCTTCTTTCTCTCTCTTTCTCTCCCTCTCCTTTTTCTTCTTTCTCTCTCTTTCTCTCTCTCTCCTTTTTCTTCTCTCTCAGTTGTTTCACGCAGTGGCCCAAATCTGCAAAGACTGCAGTTCGTATTACGTAGGGGAAACCTCAGACAGGGACGAGTAGGGAGAATAATTAGGTGTCATAAAAATAACATCAGAAAAGGGAAAAATAAACAAAATTCCCTTTAAGAAAACCGGCTTCATAAAAATCATGGAATAGATTTCGAGAAGGTAGAAAAAATAGATGAAGATAGATGTTTCTCGAGGCTAACTTCGGAGGAAATCTATATAAAATGAAATAAATCTATAAATACTATGGTGGAGAGCAACCAAATATGAATAACTTAATATGAGAATTAACACCCAAGTACAAAATTAGTTTGTTAACTGTACAAAACTCTACTTGGGATCAATGTTGTGTATTGATAATCCCCCCCCCCACACACACACACACCCAGACGTCCCCACCCATTAAACCTTACCCCTCTCTCTCTCTCTCTCTCTCTCTCTCTCTCTCTCTCTCTCTCTCTCTCTCTTTCCCCTGACCTTGCCTCGTCAGTGATGTGGTTCTTTCCGCACCTGGAATCCATACCCTTTTTTTAGTTTATTTATGTTCTGAATGAGATTACAAAGTTCAGTTTATGTCAACACTACAATTGCTATTCTGGCTTACAATCCAACTTAATCTATTTTGCTACTAACACCAAGCGACATCTGACGAGAGGACTCAAAGAGTCCCCCAATTGATGTATATTGCTGAATAAGTCCAAGAATGCAAGTAACAGATATCTGTTTTTCAGTCGAGTTTGACATTCTGTATATTTACCCAGTTTGAGATTTCTGCTTTGGTTGACTAATTGCAAATTTGAGTTAACGTTATTGGCAAGGTAGGCAATATAATGAGAGATTGCTTTGATGTTTAATTTGGTGTAAAGTTGCGTGTTGGAGATGAACTAGGGAGCTTGAGTGCTGGATCTTAAGAATTTGCTTTGGATGACTTGCAATTTTTGAATGTTATATTTGGCAGCATTCGTCCATATTGAGCAGGCGTACACTGATTGATTTATAGAAGATTGTGGCATTGTTAAAAGACAGCTTAGTGGTTTTATTTATGAGAGGTTTCAGTTGAAGAATGTTAATTTTGGCTTGCTGAACGTAAGCCCATACCCTCAGTCACATTGGAAACGCGGACTCGTCTCTTCCGAGATTTACTTGTCCAATAATGGAATTTAACCAATTTTACTTCGTAATAAAGATTCTTCCTTTTGAGATTACCTACAGATAGTGTGAACTATTTTCGGGGTACATTAAATTTTTTTATTATGCTTTACATATAAATAAGGTTAGCCATCGCCTGTATTTGGTGCCTTTTATGTATAATCTTGGCGACAATGATTTATCTAATTATGTTTCGTTTAATTATTTGTCTTTACATTTATTGTGATTATTAGTTATTGTATATAATTTATAATTCTGTACAAATTTTAAAATTTTAAATGTATATATTTTAATATACCGGATATAATACTTGATAATGAGACCGGTGGAGGCCTTGAAACGTTGGTGAACACAGTTTTATCAATACATGTGAAAATAAAAAAAAACGACTGTAAATAAATTCTGGATCATAGTCCTGAACTATAAGTGCTTCTTTCGATCCATTTTATTTTCCCGCTCCATTTTTTTCCCGCTTCTATCGCTTTTTCTGCTCCACCCGCTAGTTGTTCTCCTTCCTCTTTACCTGCTCCTTCAGCCCCACTCGCTTCGCTCGCCTCTCTAGGTTTTGAATAGAAACAGAAATTGCGTTAAAAATAGAAGACAACAAACATTTGAGATTCTTTCCAGGGATCACCGGCTTTTTTAAACCTTTTTTAAGTTCAACATATTTCCTTTAACATTTTAATTTATACCCCCAAGTAATCAGTCACTTTCTCTGCCGGCTTAATGTCTTATTGTAGTTTCGTAGTTATGGACTTACGATGTTTTGTACACAAGGTTGGACAGGTATTAAAAATAGGATAGGTAATCTTTTGTTTTTATGCTGCCGCTATCGCTGGCACCGTACACACTCTCTCTCTCTCTCTCTCTCTCTCTCTCTCTCTCTCTCTCTCTCTCTCTCTCTCTCTCTTTCTCTCTTTCTCTCTCTCTTTCTCTCTCTTTTTCTCTCTTTCTCTCTCTCTTTCTCTCTCTTTCTCTCTCTTTCTCTCTCTCTTTCTCTCTCTCTCCCTCTCCCTTTCTCTCGTGTAGAAATATGGGCGAAGTACGTGTGACCTACTGTAACGAACCACGCCTCTCAATCAAACTGGAGGACCGGGATATGAGATGGTGTCCGTGAGTGAGTGCAGAGGAAATAAAATGAGCTTTCGTTTTTCATCGAAATATGTAAGGGAGTTATTTTTGAATTCTCGAACTGAAGTTTTCGTCTGAAAAGAATTACGTTGTTCTTCCGACGCGTTACGCGTTCTTCCGACGCGTCACATTTCTAATTGTTACAAATTATAAACTTATAACGAAATATACGAGGGCTTTTTTGTTAAAACAAGCTTCTATATACTCATTGTTATTCGCATTGTATTACATTTTAAGTAACTTTACAAATGTTATCTTACATTTAAGTACAAGTTTGATAGTATTTGTGACAAAAAATACGCGATATCTTTGTGAATGTTTTTCATTATAGCAACTCTAAGATTAGTAAGCATATATAAATGTTTCGAAATTGAGATAATGATAAAAAGAAAACCTTTTTGATACGTTTATCTCAATTATTTTTCGATTTCTATCCTAACATTTTCTGGGGTTTTCAGCAATTGGTACTAGCACCTGACTCAACGAGTTTCAATCTGTGGGATGACATCCCCATCCCCATTTATATGGAGTTCACGCTGTTCAACGTCACAAATGCAGACAAGGTCGCTAGAAATCCCAATCTTGCGCCTCAAGTCGTCGAGATGGGTCCTTATGTTTTCAGGTAAAACTTTTTATAATTATCCGTGCAATATATTACATCAAACATAATTGTACATAACTGGGAGAGTTTATTCTTTTAATATCATACAAATTTCTAATTTTAGCATTCTATATTCTCATTCTTATTTGCTGACAATAATCGCGTTTCGGTAACCGTTAATTATACTACTGAATAAAGTGTCAAATAATATAAGATACTGAGTAAACTAATTTACGTTATAGTACATGTGCCTGCACATTGTAGCTGCCAAATAGTTCGCTAAAGGATAAGATGACTTTTTATTAAATATAAAGAAACTTTCCAGAAATGTTTTAAAATTTTAACTTTACTTATAAAGTGGATTTAAAAAAATACTAGATAACAGACACTGTGTGGTGTATTTGAAATAGTTTTATGTGATGTGATTTTACGAGATTTGCACGTAATAGCTAAAGTGCCTAAAAGAACAGAATTTGCAATACAATTATTATCATTTTACGTTACCAATAGAAATAGCGTGAGAAGTCTGTGACATGTTGTAGCACCACTAATTTTACCTTCTATATTGTTTGCATGCATTACCTTAGTATTATTTCCACAATTATTGTAATGGTAACTTTGCTTCTCGCTTTCGAGACAATAGAAATATGGCATGAGAAGCTTTTGAATGTTGTGTTGGTTCTTTTTTTATATTCTTTTTGATCATCTCGAAAGTAAATGTACACCAATTTTTGTTTTGTTTTTAAAAGGCACTTGTGGCGATAAGTAAGTGTTAAGATGAATAAGTAGTGAGATTGAAGTAGTTGTAGCGTTATTATTAATTAGGTTTTACATAATTTTATTATTTTTTTCAGAGAATATCACAAACGAGCCAACATTACTTGGAATAACGAAAATAATACCGTTACTTACATGCAGTATCGAACTTATGAATTCCAACCGCACCTCTCCAATGGTGAACTCACAGACAAAGTTACAAATTTCAACATAATTTCCACGGTAAGTGACAAGATGTGGAATAAATGTTTCTGCAAGAGATTTAGGTCGTCTTCCAGATTAAAATAAAGTGATGTTATTAAAACAAAGAAAAGAAACATGCTAAATAGCACTGTGTGAAAACAATTGGGAACAAATTGGCATGTGAAAGACATTATGCAATTCTCAATTAGCACAAAGAAGACCATTTATTTCAGAATTTGTTGCCCCTTGAGATGAAAATTAAAATTTAATAATGATGTTGTTTTGTTGCATAACTGAATAATGAAAACTAAGCATTTATAGTATAATTGTGCCGATCATGTTTTTTAAAAGACAAAGCAGAAAGTTCTATTATGTAGATTGATGGTCCCTAAATGTCTCTTTTATGTTGTGCCCTCTTAAAAGAAATAGTATTACCCTCGTTTGAGATTGTAACTATATCTTCAGTAAGCAGCAAACAGTGGGCAAAAGTATTCGCCCGTAATTCTTCGTTTTTCTGCATTCCTGGAAAAGTGTTTGGTCTCGTGAATATAAGTGACGTAACGGACTAAGTATAGACTTTGATATTCCAAAGATTTTCCAAATTTTTTTATGCAAATACTAGGGATGACTTTAAATATTTTTTAAGTTAATATACACCTGCAAGTGTAATAAGTCATTAAATAAATTGATTCATTCGGAGATGATGTTTTACAGTTGTCTCTTTAAATTTAAAGAGCTGAACAGATAAACTACATAGTTAAAGACAGGCAATATATATGTTTCTCATTTAACCATAAAAAACAGATATGTAATTATTTTACTAGTACACCTAACCGGAAATAGGATCAATCGGGCCCAATGGATTCGCTTAAGACATTTTCACTTATCTTGTGCACCGTTTGCCTACTTATGAAAAAATGCTGAACACGTTCCTTTCGAACCGGCACCATTGTAATAATGTAAATACAGTATAAATTTTTCTCAAGATACATAGTGACCTGGTAAACAAAAATGAAAATTGTTAGAGCAAATGTACTCAGTTACAAAAGAAATTGAGAAGACAGAGAAAACATTTAGTTTATTATTATTATTATTATTATTATTATTATTATTATTATTATTATTATTATTATTAGTATAAGTATTATTATTAGTATAAGTATTATTATTATTATTATTATTAGAAAGAAGAAGAAGACTGCAGGTTCGAGTCCTGCGTGGGCATAGTAGTATTTGTGATTGTCCCTTCACCCATCAACGTCATCCTATCATCCCGTAATTTACCCTTCAAGGCGTAACAATCTTGTCGTAATGACTGATACAGCTGAAAAGCTGTTCCTGGAAGAATTACTCACGTTAATCGTCAGTAATGACCTGTGTGCCAATAATAATAATACTAATAATAACAATATTAATATTAATAACAATAACAATAACAATAATAACAATAATAACAATAATAACAATAATAACAATAATAACAATAATAACAATAATAATAGTAACAATAATAAAAGTAAAGTCCAATTCTTCTTACTTTTGTTGCTAATTTCATTCTTATTAGTCTTATTTTTTGAGTGATTAACAACGTGTTCTCTCTGTTCTTGCGGTAACTGCGTGGCCCTCAAAGCTCGCTGATTTCCTCTACTGTCGCATGCTTGTGTCGCAGACGACCGCGTACGGCGCGCGCTACCTCCCGAAGCTGCTGCGCCTCTTCATCAGCCGCATGATCGACAAGACGAATGCGACGATGCTGGTGACGCGCACCGCGGGCGAGCTGCTCTTCGACGGCTACGACGACCCGCTGCTCGACATCGCGCACCAGCTCAACTCCTCGCTCTTCACCATCCCCTTCAGGAGGTTCGCCTACTTCGCGGAGGTAAGCGCACGATCGACCAGACGAACGCCACGGTGTTGGTGACCACCATCTGGACTGGGAGGTGTGACTCAGGGATTCAACTCATGACGCTGTAGTGCATCTGATCGGGAGGTCCTGGGGTTCGTCTCCCTACGGTGGCAGGATTTTCGACACTAACCTGATAGCTAGGTCGCTGTCTGAAGCAGAATTCTTACGACTGGCTGCTCGGATCGATAGTTTTCCGTAGTTTCTCCGATCAACAGCAGGCGGATGGTGGAGCAGTACCTTAACAAACGGGTTACGGGTCTCGCGCGATCTTTCCTTCCCATTCCTTGATATCCTACCCCATTACACACGCTTATACTTACCATACATGCCGGGATATCCGGCAGGAGCTTAGAACTTGCCCCAGCTGCGGCGGTGTCCCGCTGGTGTGGTTCCGCTAGCCGCGGAACTCGCCATGCAGTGGGGCAAGATTACGTCACCTTCCGACGAAGAACATGCCCTATGGGACTAATGAACTTAGCATTTGACGCGCCGGAATTACTAGAAATCAATCAATCAATCGAACAATTCACTCTCTGAAAGGGAGGGTCATTCAATTTCGATGGCTTCGATTACCGTATGGGGACTGTATTACTAGGGTTCGGTGGTAAAATCTACGATGTCCCCCCGAAAAAATGATTGGCTGGATCCGTCCCTGGTCATCATTTTACTTAACTGCACAGAGGCAAACGGGGGTAATGTTTTTGTCTGCAGATCTCGTGTGTTTTCGCTCCACCTGGAGCTCAAAAATATTTACTGTTTATAATCGGTATAAGACAGAATGTCTACAAACAAATTTCTCCAGACGTGTCCTCGGATAAGTGTTATTTACTCCTAAGTTCGAAATTATAATTTTAATAGAGAAATGTGTTGCGTTTCTCCAAAATTGATTTTTCACAATCGATCTGACTGATGTCGCGGTCCCTTTGTTTTTTTAAATTTCTTTGAATTTTCTAGCCGGATGCGAAAACGTCTACATCCGGTGACCAAGACGCGAATGACACCTCATAAGTCTTAATTGGTGCACGGGAAGTGATCTATCTGCGAGTGGTGGAACCGCACGCATCCACACAATCACACATACGCACACTCCGATGATAATGATGATGAAGATGATTAAGGTTTAAGGGAGCTTGATCAGCTAAGGTCATTGGCGCCCGTGTCAAATTATTCGCAAACTCCGAATTTTACTCAAATATTGTATAAGGGTATTCTTGCATTCATACATTAATAATTATACACATTAAAGTAAGTTTTTTTCTGGCGAAATTTCGGCCTTTTCATACATTACATAACTTTCCCTTCATACGAAAAATTCGTAAGGCGAGAATGTAAAATGTGTCGATTTTAGTTAAAAAAATAGAATGCTATATTTTGTTTGTAGAATTGATTCAAAAGAAATGAATTAAAAGAACAATTAATTTTGACCGACTAGTTCCTCGTCCTTTCTGGCTTAGCCTAACCTCTTTGATTTCATTGCTTATTAATACAAATATGACCTCAGATGGGGTCATATTCACATATATTCAACAATTCACATATATTATTTTTTCTTGCTCTCTGTATACACTTTTATTTGTATCTTGACCCAACAATGAATTTAAAAAATTACATTCTAAATGCCAACACTACGGTCCTTTCTTCAGCCTCCATGAGAGATATAATTCCTTTCCTCACTTAATTTCCCGGTCTAACGATTACCAATGCACACGGTATAGTTACCAAGAGTGATTCTACATAACAAACCTATTCTCTTGCTCATGTTAAGACTCATGTTTTTAATACCATGCTCCCCAGGGCTGATGTCACAGAATGTCATCTAACCAATAGCGTAACCGAGTGAGAGCTCGCCCGCAAAACATTTTATCTCAGGCCCCCCTTTATGAACGTGTATAGCAAACATAAGTAGTGTTAAATAATAAAATTAAATAATAAAAATATCCTCTAAAAATGGGTACGGTTTCGCCTGGACCCACATGCATGGCAGACCTTCCGGTCCCGAACGTTAAGCCACTGCTCTAACCCGAGCTGTCAGAGAAATAAATGTAATGAATTGCGGAAAAACGCATTTATTCGCAACCTATGTAGTTTTTTTGCAATATAAATTTTTCGTCATTTTTCGCAGTGCTTCTATTAATTTTTATTAAAGGTTTAATAAATTTAATTTTTTATCAATGTTTTTTTTAACTCCTCACGTTTTGAATTTTTAATCTTTTATTTTTTATAACTACGTGGTGTGAAGGTAACAGCTCAATAATAAAATCAAGATTTGATGCGCATTACATACTTGAAGATGAGTATTACAGCAGCATTTGCGTTACATTACATGGAAACAGTACACTTGTACAAATGAAATTCGAGTAAATTATAAAACTAAAGCTGCAACTTAACATTTTAATGAAAGTTTCTGTTACTCCATTATGCTCCTCAAATGACAACGGAACTACTGAATCTGATATTTAACTAAATCGCTGAATCGTGTTTTCCATTTTATTTCTAATAAGGACTTCTCGAATGTGCTTTGTACAAAATATTTGTTTGTATCGATAGTGCCAACATTTTTTGAATTGTTATGTTGTCTTGTCACTCCCACAGCGCAACAACTCCGTGGAGTACGACGGCGTGTTCAACATGTACACGGGAAAGGACGACTTGAAGAAGCTGGGTCTGCACGCCAGCTGGAACTACCAGAAGCACACGGAGTACTACGGCTACCCGTGCAACAAGGTCCGCGGCTCCTCCGGGGACCTTTGGCCGCCCGTGGACGACTACAGGGCTGCAGAGATCTTCGTCCCAGACCTTTGCATGTAAGCCCTCTTAATCGACGAATAAATCGTCATGCACCAAAAAATAGCAAACATTAGCCATTGTATATAAATAGTATTAAGTTACAGCGAACTTCAAAATAAGTTTCCATGCAATTTTAAATCTTAAAGGTGCCCAGTCAACTCAAGGTTTTCGTACGAAGAATTTTGCATTTTTGCTGAAATTAAAGTATTTTGAATTTTCTTGATTTACAGTTATTTATATCGCATGCTTTATAACAAGGAAAGTGGCGTAGGTAAAACTGTAATTTCCAACCCACTAAGTATATATTCCGTAATCCAAAAAGGATGTACGATAAGAATAGCAAGTCCAACGGCCATGTCCCAAATTCTAGGGTGGCCGTTGCTTGGTAGACTCACGCTAATGTATACTTGTGTTCTGGATGCAGCTCCACTCACGCAGACTGACTCCCTTCTGCTACCTTAACAGCGACCTGGACTGCCCAGTTCAAAGGAGCCGCGACGTACAATGCTGCTGCATTTCCGAATAGTCATCATTACCCTTTCGGGCATTGGGTTTTCGTGCCACGTGTAACGTAGCAACCTTGTGCACTTGTTATAGTGAAATAATGTACCTTAAAGTTATATCCTCTTACCTTAGATCTATGACACGACCAGTTGATCCCGGGTTTAGAGTGACACGGTTCCTTTGGTTCCTTTTATGATTCATTATTTCTCGTGATTCCCAAGATTATAGAGGTACTGTTCACTTGAATCACAGGTTGAAAGCTCGAGAATAATTTGCCTGGCATTGATTAATTTTATTAGGCCAAAGCATAAATGTATACAACGGGTCACCCTACGGGTCAAAGCCATACAAAGCTATATATTTTGCTATTACGAAACATTTCATCTTCATCACGTACGTCATATCAATTCACATGTAAAATTACACTTCACAACACTTTTAAAAAAAGTCGGTAAATCACGGGTCTAGGGTGGCACGGTTTCTTTAATTCACTGATGCGGTTCATTGGTGGGGAATCGATTCCATGAACTGAATCCTTGTTTATATGTACTAGTCGCGTATAGTAAAGTTCACGATATTAACGCAATAAATATAATTATTTCAAATAAATTATATTTTTACTAACACGATCTACTTAAACTCCATTGTAGCCAAATTTAAAAATATACTTCATTCCATCTAGATCATCTTGAATAATACTGACTGAAACATTTATCTTTATTGTTAGTATTATTATTATTATTATTATTATTATTACTATTATTATTACTGTTACTTTTATTATTATTGCTATTGTTAATATTATTATTGCTTTTATTATTAATATTACTATTACTTTTAATATTATTATTGTCATAATTATTATCGTCATGGCCCTTATAAAGTGAAGTGATGTGGAGTGGAGTGGGGGGAAGGGATTGTAGTGTAGTGAAGGGGAGTGCAGTGTAGTGTAGTGAAGTGTTATGTAAACTAGAAGTGAATTTAGAGTAGCTAGAAATAAATTGGAACTATTATATCGACCCCTAATTGTAATAGTAAACCTAATTGTAAATGTTAAAATTGTTTTGTAATTCTAATTCTAATTGTTATCATGTTTGCCACCGAGCATTAGCTCAAAGCGAACTTTAATAAATCTATCTATCTAACTGAATCAGTGAATCAAAAGAACCGTTTCACCCTAACCCCGGGATGTACCACCCTATCCTTTCGTAAATAGTGCACGTCGAAATGTACAGTGAAACAGTGACAGAAAACAGTGAAATGGACGTCGATAAACAGGAACAATCTCGTTTTTCAAAGTTAAACTGATTTTCTTATGTGAAGGAGATTAATCCTTACCAACAACTACAACAGTGGCAACCATTAATGAAAAAATGTTGGTTACGTGACAAAAAAAACGCAAAAGTTGGAATCATATCTTCCAGTTCGATTATGTCTTCCGCTCATAACGAATGCTCTTATTACACACATTCGCAAGAAAAGCCAATTTAAAATTTTAGAGTGGAGTCATCGCTCAGTACTGAAAATGGAATAGGATATGAACATTTGTTTACTGTAGACTGATTCAGAGATTCAAATGTCTCACCAATATGAATAGATTCGTTGACACCCTAAGCAACTTGTTCAACGTTTGAAATGCTTCGTTTGTAATAACACAACGCAATTGGTAAATCTCAGCTGAGCGTTGTTCTTTACGACCATGTCACTTGTTCAAGAGAGTTTTGCGCCGGGTGCTAAACTCCCTAATTATGGCTTATCTAAAACATAAAATAAAACCAGAAGCCAGGAAATACTTAAGCCATTCGGCGTGCTTGAGGTGTTGATGACCGCACTTCTCTCACTAGCATTTGGCGCTTCGCCCGCTTGCTGTTTCAGGGATACCTTCTGCAGCATCTCTCAGGGACCGCTTGTGTTTAGACATCGCATTGGGCTCTTAGAAAGCTAGATTTAAAATTAAGACATTATTCGACACATTTAATTTTTTGTAAATTTCAAAGTTAAGTTTTTGAAATGCTGTTCTCTGGGCGATATATTTGCGTCTACATGTGAAATCTGTGAGTCTAATATAAAGTGGCGCACACAGTACACTGGTGAAGTACGCATTTTGAACTTTCTACAATTTGATAACTTTTCTATAAGCGTCTGTGCCGATTTTTCCGAACTTGAGCAGCCATCGTTTACAATGGGGTAATCATTATAGAGCTTTGAGGCCATTCACCTTGCGCTACTCTCCGTACCGACTGAACGTGCCCGCATTGCTCCTGGCGGCGCCACTCGGTACTATTTCTGGGAGAGCTTTGGGTCGGTCGTTACACGGCGGTCAGCGGACAGACATCTCAACCTTCATTAATTCATCTGTATTCATCTTCATCCCTCATTAAATCCTAGATGAAGTAGAAATAAAATTGTTCAACATATTTTCACAAGTATTCTATTACAATATTCCAGAAGAATGAGAGAAATATAGTAATTTAACCATCGAGATGACGTAGGGAAGCAGGTGTTAAGGTCAATGAAGATGTAGGAGGACAAGAATTGATTCTATAATTAAAGAACTGGAACAAATACAAATGTATTCTGTGAATTAATACATTATTTACAGAATCCATAAGAGGGTTGCCTTCAAATATTAAGGAAATGGTGGGAAGACAACTGACAAAACATGGCACAAAGATAATACAATAAATTAATGCAACTGAATTAATACAAGATTAAAACAGCGCCTCACTACCTATTTACAAAACAAGATTGTGCAAATAGGCAATACAATGAAAAATATTTCATCATGAACAATCATTTACAGTGGTTCGTAAAGTAGATTGAATGCAAATTTTCTTTAATAATTCAAAAATTCATTGTAAATGATATACATCATAACACGCACATTGTTTATCTGAAGACGTCTACATAACCATTGACCATTGGTTTTAAACAAAACCCACTGATCTGTTGAAATTCTATTATTTCATTTCGTGCTCACAATATAACTCGTTCGAAATGTTTTGCGTGACTAGAAAAATGTAATTTGATACTCGTATTCACCCGACTGAAGCGCAAAATTTACTTAAAAATTTCTTTAGCCCTGAACCGAACTTGACAAAATATAAGCCCATGCAGTTCTAGGCGGCTCCTCCTCTTCTTCGCTCCGCCTCAATGGTTGCCGGGCCGTCAAAACAATAAACTGTCCACGAGTCTACCGTATTTACGCAAATCTAATGGGCAACCTTTTGTACAAAATGTAGTACTCAAAATTGTGGAGCACATTAGATTACACGGTGCATTTCGAGTGCAGATCTGCTCCATTCAATGCCAGTAACTTCATTCATTTTTTTAGTTTATTACGTCACAATGGGAGTTTTCAAATTCACCTTCGTTTCATTTATCATTGGCCTATTATTGAGAGATTTTAGTTACGATATGGAGGGCAAACACACACGAAAGTCTTATGTTTCAAATATTGGATGTGCATGCGCATTAGATTCGATGGCGCATTGGATTTGCGGAAATACGGTTATTCGCTTCCTGTAGAGCACATCTTCCTGAAGCTTCTTACACTGGCCTCAGAAGGCCGAGATTTTGTGTCTCTACATTGCTGTCAAGTTCCTTGACAACTTACAACTTGGTTATGCTCAATTTAAAAAATACGATCATAGGGAGTGGGTTGCAACAGCTGATATATGCGTTAATATCATACTCCATTTGGGTTGGCCTGGGAGTTACATTATCGCGTAGGTTGCAGATTGGATGACAGTCAATGATTTACATTACTGGTCGTCGAAACCGCCCGGGATATCGTCTCGTCTGTCGTGCTCCTTGTCTCCGAATCCAAGCAATCTTGATCTTCAATTCCACTTAGAGACTCATTTTATCCAGATCATTTATCACGCAGCTCATTTGGTCTGGTACCCTCCCGGCCATAGGAGTCTTCGGTTGGTGGCTCTGCATTTCAGGAAGGGGATCAGGAAGAATGGGATGCAACATTTGACTGCATGAATAGGATTCTCCTGAAAGGGTCTCTGAGCGCATCTCTTCCTGAATGGATGGGAGAGGATTAATATTTCTTTCGCCACGCGGCGAAGCCGACTGGTGCGGCGTTTCGTCTCCCATCTCCCGAGTCATCTTGTCTCCGAATTTCGACTCCTGCGAGCCGGCCGACGGAGCAACTACGGGCTGCAACTTTCGTAGTTGTTTCAGATGGTAGAGAAGTTTGTTGTATCGCAATTTGCAGTTCACAACCCTTTTTGGGCGACTGTGTTCTCTAGGAACCGGATCAGGGAGACTTGAGTGCAACGGTTGATGCTTGCATGAATGGGTTTCTCCATCTCTAAAAGACTGTAAAGTACAGGAGCACTTCTCTTCCAGGTTGGATGAGACAGGGAGATTCACATTAGTATGATCGTCACAATGCGAAACTAACTGGTGTGACGTTTCATCTCCCGTGGCCCGCGTTGTCATTTGTCCAACGTTTAGCCCCTTCGACGACTTTGGGGAATCGAAGGAGCGCATCTTTTTTAATTCTTTTAACTGGAGGCGTATATTGTTGAACTGCATTCTGCAGTTCGAAATCCTTGATTGGTGGTTGCGCAGTTTAGAAAGGGGATCATGGAGACTGACAGCACAGTTGAACGCCTGATTCAGATGATTCAGCGAAGGGGTGTGATTCGAAGTATGTCCGGTTTTCTGATGAGATGTCTTGTTTGTCGTGTTGCGTGTCTTCTTTTCTGCGGATTTCGACTTCGTCGAAGAGGACTTTAGTGGCTCTAAACCGCACTTTTGTCGTAGTTTATTTATCTTCTGAAGATACTTGTCGTATCGCCTGCTGCAATTCGAAATTTGTGGTTGACGATTTTGTACTTTGCTAAGGGGATTTGGAAGACTTGAATGTTGCGGTTGACTGTTGGAACAATGGCATGCGCTTTGGGTCTGCATCTCTCTGATGTCCTGCACTGACAAGTAGGACATGAGTGCACTTAATTGCGGTAGGTTCATCTCAGAAGGCGGTGATTCTGGTGTTGTATGGACGTAGCCGTCCTCAACCATCTGATCTGGGTTGCTGGAATCTCCGTTCATATTTCTAAAACAGAAGGATAACAAAATATTTAAAATTAAGTAATACTAGCGGATTGCAGCAGCAAAAATGCTGCTGAATAAATTAATTAGATGTTTTGAATTTTTTCTAGCTCCTGGGTACACCGCCTACACAACAGGAGGCTATGTAGTTTTCTTACAATTTTTGCGCGCATTTAAATTAGTAATAAATTGGTTTTTGTATTTTTCCCCGAGTTCCTGGATACCTTACGAAAGCCTAAAATGTCATGGAAGCCTAAAGACCTCTAAAATGTCAGGAGGCGGAACAGTTTTCTTTTAATATAATGTTACTTCCGGGTGCGAAATTCAAACCGCCCGCCGCGTCACAATTTTGCCAGTGGGCGTTGCTGGGCGTTGTCTCCCTGCGGGTCTGGGCGTAGCGTCGTTTCTTTGCATCAGCGTCGAAACTGTCAAGTGAGGAAAAGATCGCTTGCGCACACTCGATTAATTTGATAGTAACAAGAGTTTTGTGTGTTCTGTTCATGTAATCTGTTAAATCTATTTAATTTTTTTTTTGTTATACATTATTACGACAGTATGCATCGGTGTACTCATGAACGCTGATTACGAACAGAGCCTAAAAGAAATTAACAAACTTTACTCTTTCTCTCGAATTAATTTTTGCGTGCCCTCAGTGTAAACTAATGTCTTATGATAAGCCGCATACGATAAGCGATAATCCCTTGCAGTTTCTATTTTTAATATCATACCAGATGCTGTTTTGCAGCTAAAATTTTCGTACAATAAAATGTTGAGTTTATTGATTATTCAGAGCGCACTGTTCGAACTAACGCTTCCGCAAGTTTCATTTTGTAGTAGCATCGTAATTAAGTTTAAGAGATTAAAATACTAGTACTCACAAAACACTTGTTACTGTTAATCTATTAATTAATCTAGCGCGCGACATTAATCTAGCCCTGTTTTCCTGACTAGACAGTTTCGCCGAAAACGCGGAAAAACGACTTGTTGCCCAGCCCCGTTGGCCTACTATACTCGCATAAAAGCATGGAGCAACTTTAGAAGAAAAGGAAAATTTCGTGAAATTTTAAAACCTCGCAGCTCTCTTACAACTTGATTATTAAAATATAATTTATAAAGCAAACCTAGGATTTTATGATTTTTAAAATTATTCATAACTTTTGCCCTGAAGTCAAAAATAAAAGTTTACTAAGCAAAACCCCCTACGATTTTGTGGATTTTGGCTTCCTAAAACTTTTTCTGAAGTATTGTGAGATGGAAAATAGTTTTCTTACTAATCGTATATATAAAGAACAATGTTTGTTTGTTTGTTTTTTGTTCATACTTAATGCGCCGCCGTACCGTTCATTCGATCGCTATAAAACATTGTCGACTTATTACTTGTACTTCCAGAAAGAATACACACGTAGTAAGATTGCAATACCTGCGCATTTAGACGTACGTTTATGATGATTTTATGTTGACTCAAGCGCCCTGAATATGGCGCTTTATATAACATCGTTTGACATTATTTGTTGCACACTAGAGTACGAATATTACGACGTCATCGTTGCGTTTCAACCCCTGCGATTGTGAAATTTCTCACGAGAGAGGCAGATACAGGCTGAGACAGAGGAAGACAGAAGAGAGAAATGTCAGAGAGAAAAAGAGAGAGTCCGAGGCGGACAGAGAGAGACAGAGAGACGGACAGAGAGAGACAGAGAGACGGACAGAGAGAACGGACAGAGAGACGGACAGAGAGAGAGACAGAGAGACGGACAGAGAGAGAGAGAGACGACGGACAAACGGACAGAGAGCTCTACTTCACTGTGAAATTATTTACCAGAGTGTCCAGTTATTTCCTTGAACAAAATTTCCTGACTTTTCTGGGTTTACCGGGGCTTTTTTTTAAAAAAAGTATTACTGATAAGTTATGTAGAATTTTATACTATTTTTCATTTTCTTTTAAAACTCTGTATATGCTTGACGCTCAGCAGAATTTGTTAGTGGTACAATGCTCGAAAGTTTTTGTGGAATTTTGAGAACTATATTTTAATCGAATTGAGAGTACCGAATGGTCGTAGCAACGTGGTTCATGAGAAGTTTTTCTGGAAAAACTGGAGGAGCCTGACGGCCACCCGCTCTCGTAAGCTTGTTACCTGCCCGCGACCTTGACAAGCCTGACTTAGATCCTCAAAGCAGACTTCGGGTGAACAAGGGAGTGCCTGAGTCACCCTAGCTTTGTTTCAGAGCGCACTGTACTTCTAGGTATGGTTATAATCTCAAGTTTCACAATGCCCTTCGAGGAAAGCTTTATGCACGTATCTGGCCGCTTAAATTTCATTGGCTTCCGATCCTTTTTGAGAAATTCCGTCGCAAAGGAAACATGACGCGACATGGAGTCATTTTTCAGCGTCGTGAGTCACCCCGCGTCTTCTTTCGTTACTGCTCCTGCCAGGCAACTCACGGCGTTTCACGATTCAAAAGAACAGCAAGCGGTATTGCGATTTTCTCACATCATGGAAACTGTTATTTAAATCCTCTTATTGAATACATTGCATTTATATTGTACCAATTTGTTTATTCTAATTTCCTCTTTTGCATAGAGCCTATGTTTGTTTCTGTTTATTGCAAAAAAATATAATAATGTAAAACATACATTTACTCTTCGTAAATCGCACGAGCAATTTAAAAAAAATCAACATTTGTATTTTAGAAATGTTAAAAACTTTGGTGAAAATGCAACTTTTACCACAATGAGAAGAAAACTTGGTGCTATTAGAACTAACGATTTAAAGGGGCAAAATTGATCCGTTTCTGAAGGAAAAATAAGAAAAAAAATAGAAATGGCCAGCGAGCTTTATAAAAAATAATGGAAATTGGAACTAAGTTGTTTACAATTAAGTAGTTATGTAGTTTTAGATGAGCACTGATTCTTGGAAGTGTTAGGGTTTGACAGGTCGTACAGAATATGCGAGCTACAGATATGCAGAACAAACGTGTTCGTTTGTAGTCGCTTTATTCAGCATTTAAGGATCACGCTTCTTATAAAATAAGTAATGTTATCAGTAGAGTCCTAAAAAAGTTAGTGTAGTGACAAACGACAACTTTCGTACATAAATATGTAATGAAAATGATAAGAATATGTGACGAATATGTAATAAAGGATATAATATACACTATCAAAATACACTTGTTTGTAGAATATTTACAAACAAATAAATTTCCATAATTTCAAATAACATTAAAATATTAATTAATTAATAACAAAAATAAATGTTGCTTGTTCTAATAAATGAAAATGTAGGAGAGCAATGATAGCCATCATACAGAGGTGGGATTGCAATGACTGACACTCACTGTAGCATCGCCATCGTAGTGTTTCTTTCACGTCTGCAACCATCAATCTCTCTCGTAAATTGGTTTCAATCAAGAAACCGCTTCATTGATACTTTCCACACCGAAATATAATATTCGAGGCGCTCACGCGATCTTGTCATAACAAACATCCAGTGCAGACAGAGGTTAACCCAAAAACACCGCATGCATCTGACCAAGTGGGACGCTTCGCGTCTTTAGCAAGCAATTCTGAATGAATGCATGAAAAAATACCGATTTCTAAAGTAAAAACTATTCATTACATCTTTTTTGCAAAATTTTAAGAAAATTGGCAGAATAATAAACATTTTGCTAAAGATGTTAAATATGAGCTAAATACGTAAAATATGTAATTTAGTACAAAATATTAAAAAATAGTCAACGAAAAATTTGCACATTGTATTAGAAAATCCCTGATTCCCCAAAAGCACAATTTCGAGAACTTAACATAGAAAGGCAAAACATTACCTAAGAATCCGGCCTTTAGTTATCAGTCGTGCCTGCGACAGAGAAAAGTCCGGACTCACGTGGTCTCTGGCGAGAGGATCTGCTGGGCAGCGGTTCGTCGTAGCGTATCACGTAGGGAGATCAACTGCCCAACTGGCCCTTCACGGCCTGCGAAGGTTGAGTTCCCGGCGCCCTCGTATTTTTTGCCCACCAGGGCCAAAGGTGAACTGAAATGCGTGACGGAGCCGGGTAAGCGCTTTCCCGCAGTGGCCCCGCATTTCCCCCTCTCCGGCGGGTGTCGTCATCTGCCTACAATACCGACAGCGTGTAAGCGACTCTTGACAGTTCGATGCGCTGTTGCCAAAAATGACTACGCACGTGGCACCACCTACGCGTCACTCAGATGGGAAACTCAAATGAGCGGCAACACTGGACCCAGGTTGTGAGAAAGTAAACAAATAATCGCAAGCTGATTGCTTAAGAGCAGGTCACGTGTATCACAGCACGTGGCGAGAGAACTGTCAGAGTCGCTTATACGCTGTCGCACTGTAGGGAGAGCAGCTGGCGATAGATAGCGCAGGCGTTCAATGGTCCCTGACCTCCAGGAAGTGGCGCTACGCCCACCCATCTCCATCGACCATAAAGGCTTTTGATAAGACGTGCTTTTGACAGCCAGGGATGCCACAAGGCCAAACGGACGTAGATGTTTTTAAATACAGCTTATCCACCTTGTTTAAAGTTAAACTTGACGAAACCGATCAGTTTGGTAATAAGAGTTAATAGGACAATTGGTCTAATTATACTCGTACATGGGTTACCAATTAACTGCCAAATTTTAAGTTATTGTAGCAGATGAAGAAAAAACAGTATTAGAACAGCGGAAGCACTTTTAATGGTGCCATAGTGTCATCCATTCCACAATTTCAAAGAAAAAAGTAGCTGAATTTCATATATCTTCAGTACGATGTCTCATCACACCATTTCACTTGAAAATACAAAGGTTGTTGGTGTGTACGTGTGCTTTTCTTTGTCTGATCAATCACAAACGCCAACAACAGTGGAAATCCAGTGACACTTTGCAAATGTGTTGCATAGTCTCTCAAGAATGCCCAGTAATCACTTCGCATTGAAGTTGTCAGCTCTGCACCGTGAACTCATAAACATGCCTAGAATAATAATGTCTCCCGCCCGAGTGTGTAGTGCTTGACCTTGTTCAATTTCTTAATGCTAAGGAGTGCAATGTAACTGAACTCTGGCCCTTCACCTTCTGCCTGTCAAGTTAAGGACTTCAGGAGAAATGGTGCCGAATTTAGATGTCGTAACTCTCCAAACTGATAACTGATGTGATGCAATTGATGGGCATTCTAGAGACCTTGTGCATTACATAGTCTTCATATTTTTCACTTTTGTGTTCATTTTGCAACCAAGTGGACCTTGAAAAAAAAAACTATATAAGTTCAACTAAGTCTTCTGAAACAATGAGCCTTAGATTTATTAACGATGTCAAGGACATCAACAATGAGGCACAATAATTGTGTCCACGTGTAGAAAAACGGTTTATCTCCAAATAGAGATCATGGCAGTTAATGGGTTAACTACTGTATCCCGTTTTGAAGACATTTTATTAGAATACGAGTGTTCTAATTATTCATGACATCATTACTGTCAACATCAGTCTGTCGTATTTTGCGGTAACAGTTTTTTGAAATATCAATATTACGAGTTTTTTATGGTTATTTGCCTACTTACGACTAGAAGAAAATGTCGGCTTCAATTAATCCATGTTAATTAATCAATGTCGTGAAAACATCGACATTAATGTTGCGTCACTAGAAGGCACTAGTTTCCACCCATATCGCAGTCATACCATTTTATTTCCAGAGCTGCTTGCCATACAACCGCTCAATCTGCTGCTATTTATTGAAGCAAATTTGTTTGAAGGAGTGAAAAGTAAAACTTAATTATTTCAGTAAGTTGTTTTATTCTCAACAAGTTTATTCAGTTAAAAAAAACATGAGTAAAATGGAAGATCAATGCCATTTATACGGGCAGAGAAACATATCGGATTTGCAAGAGTAAAGGTGAAGACTTAAAGCAAACTAAAACAGACTTTACAAGTAGAAAAATTGCAAATTGGTTACACACGCGCCTGCTCTTTCTCTTATCACATAATCGGTACACCACGGACTTTCTTCCTGTGTTTGATGCACCTCCTAAATGCAGTATTTGTCTTTTTTAACATATTATTTGTGGAAGGAATACTGCAGTAAAGGAATAAAAATTAGAGTTAAAATATTAAATTGATTTAAAAATAATAAAAGCATATTATAACGGAAGAAATATACAAGAATTTCGAACACATGACAACTTCTTTCGCTTTGGCAATGACATTTAATGGGAAGGTTATTGTTACATAGTCATTTGCGAATTGAAATACTAAAATGTAAAAATTATCATTTTTTTACTTTATTGATTTTGAATATTTTAATGTTAGTTTTATATTTTTTAATTATTGTTTAATATCTCCAGGGGTTTTACGGGAAAAGAAAAAAATGTTTCACGGTCTTTACCTCCGTACTCACGTGCACTTTTGTCTAATTATGTGAACATTTTCAGATTTAAATTAACCTTAATCCGAAGCATAATTTTACTACTATAACACGCGGAATAGGTACAATTGTACCATCGAATAATTTACATTAAAATTATCATTGGTGATAAACTTCTAGTGTAGTATATTATAGTGTAGTCTAGTCTAGTATATTAACAGTATATTTCAATGCGGATACTTAAATATTGTAAATGTATTTTCGTAAATTCATGAAAGATCTTGCAAAATCAGGTACTAGTATGTACATTTTCAATTGAAGATCGCAGCTGTAGCCCGAGTTTGATGAGAAGCCATTTCCTATTATGCGCAAAAGAAAGGCAGCTGATACTCAAGAACCTCTTGGAGCCACTCCAACAGTTGAAAGCTAATATGTCTGTCCAGATCAGCACGGAAACAACGCGAAACAAGAAAAAACTGAGCTTTGTATGCAGCATGTGTGCGACGAACATTCTCTAATAAAGACAACATGCAATACTTGGAAAAGTGAATAAAAAAATCTACTTTTCCTTCAAATTGTAAATAAAATTTTATATTCGTCTTTTAATACATTATTTCAGAAAAGATGCGTCCTTTTTATATTGCATTACATTCACACTATAGACATGAAAGTCTCAATGTACTTATGTGTCCTCCTATTTCTAGACCAACTGAAATAAAACATATCTAATTTGGCCTACATAGTCTTATAAAAAACGTAAAGGTGTCACGAAATTTCAAATCTCTTCAAATTATGGAAAAAAGTTCTTCCAATTTAAAAATGCAAACGTTAGAATAGCATGTAGTACCTATGTGGTAGGATGAAGGTTAAATAGCATGCAGTACGAGTATTTGCTGGCGCAAACATATTCAGTAAATTGTTTTCTAGCTGCGCAAAAAGTGAGAATGTGGAGACGTTTTTGAAAAATCCTCCATAAATTATTTTTGGGAAACTGGTGTTAAGGCAAAATAAATCGTTTAACATTTTGTGGGAGAGCAAATTATTGAAAAACTTGTGATATTTGCCGGCGTTAGAATCTTTTGTAATCACAGATCCCATTCTAAACAGCATCCAATGATTCTGGCTCCTGAAAATGGAACAATTCGACTAAATATGTCAAGAAAGATATTATGTGACACCTGTCGTGGCCTTATGTTTACGTTTCCTTACCAAATCTTCGCGGGGCTTATGCCGGATGGGATCCACGCTTTGTGGAACGACTCATACACTGAATACAATTCCCGTCGCCGACAAGAATTTTCGATAATGATCCAAGTGTCAAATAATAACCAACAGCTCTGGACTATGCTAAAATGTCTTTTGCTCCATATGCGGCGCGATCGGCAGTCACTAAGGTTCTGCTAGATTCAACACTGCCGGGGCACGCGTCTTAATTTTGTTTTTTTAATTTTTTCTGAGAAACCAAATATCGCACCTGCCTGGACGCTGCTGCGTGCTGTTAGCAACGCTGCAAAGTAGTATTTTACTTGTAAACATTCCTTGGGTTGCTTTTTTGCTCTTTGAAATGGGTTTCACGCGTTCTTGAAGCAAAAATCTGTCTTGAGCGCGCGATGTTTGAAATGTACAATCTTAGTACGAATTTATGCTAAGGAGAGCTCATAATTTTCTATTTGATTGTAGACGCCACATTTTAATAAATTTCGACGCAAAAGTAACAACTGGCATGATTTGATTAAAAAATAACGCAAAAACAATAGATAAAATAGCTGAACGGGCAATTATTTAAAACTAGACTTAACGCCTCAAAAATGACTGGACGAAATGAAATACATAATGAATAGAAAACACCGAAATTTGTATAACAGACTTAACTTGCTATCACACGCGCTTATTTGCGTTACGCGATTACTCGCGTTTTAGATTTCTTTAACCGACCCTTAAGATTGTATTTGTAACTTCGTTATAGTTGAAAGTCTGGTATTACGACAAAATTTTCATTGCGCTCTATAACGGACATAGAAGATTGCATGAAGTAACTTGCTGGCTCGAATATTTTGTTTATAATAGAACGCGATCAGTATACGGAATTTACAGCAGTCATCATATATAATTTAACAAAGAATAATTTTTCATTAAAACGCAAGGAACAAAACTGAAATACACTGAACACTCAGAAAATATTCCAAAACAAGGCCACGATAGCAATGTCGAAATATAATGATATTTCTTCCCCCGTGAGAAAATATACAGCAACGGAAGCGCTAAATACTTAACGAAGTGGCGGGTTGCTTCTCTTAAGGGACTCTTGAGGCAATATAAAAGCCTAAATCAACAACGCGTTTACATGTCCGATTTAATTCAAACCACTCTTCAAGCATCGCAGATATTAATAAGAACAAAGAGTGAACATTTAAGCCAAATTGGTCGAGTAGTTTTGCGTCTATGTACAACAGACATTCATATATTCCCTTTTATTTATTTACTGATATAGATACATGTCTGAAAATAAGGTAGGCATACGGCAAGCATGACGTATTCACTCATTGTCGTGAATTTGAGTTATATATTGAACCGAGCTAAGATACAGGGCCCCAAAAGAAGAATTCGTGACGTTGGTCCACACCTGCGGATTTAAACGTGCCGCGGGGGTGACGTCACGATCTTACGGGCGCGGCGC